AATGCGCACCGTATGAAAATCGGTCATGAAAATTTAGCATAACTAGCTCTGTTAACCGGCTGCTTTTTTCAGGATCATTATACATAATTTTATCACTAATTGTTCCACTACACTTTTTACTCTGCTAAATAGACTACAACTTAGTTGCTGTAATACTAGCTACTTCTATACTTCATACTTCTTAAACGCAATTTCCGAGGCGTTTGTTACAAATATATTATTAATATTATTAGTACTGTTTTTGAGTTGAAATGACTATCTTCAGTCAACAGTTACCCATTTTCATATAATTTTCTAAAAAATGCATATTGTTGAAATTATGCAGTATTTTTCCATTACATAATTGATGAGTCACTTTGCAATGTGTAACCGCCATATAAAATCGGCCGTAGAAATTTAGCATAACAAGTTCTGCTAACCAGTTGCCTTACTCAGGACCCCTTTACATAACTTTATCACTAATTGTTCCACTACTCACATCACTCTGCTAAATAAAATATAGCTTAGTTGCTCTAATATTATCTATTTTTATACTTCATAACTCTTAAGGGAGACCTAATTTCTTAGTCTTTTGTAGTAACCCACTTGTTCACTAGTATGATGATAATACTGCTAACAATGTCCTCTGGTATTATTGTGCCATGTGACCTAATGGGAAGCACTTGTCATGAAAGCTGTTAATGTGCAGCTTACTGTATGATTGGGACGGAGTCAAAGCAATCCAATATTACAGCTGCAGTCATTGTAAAAGGTCTCAGAGCTTAATGTCAAAAAAGGAGGGAGGGTGGTGCATGCTGATCAGCAGATTTGGTAGTGGTCACAAATGTGAATCGCTTCGATCTGTAGGACAGCAACATGCATTGTTTTGGCAGCTCGAGATCTAAACATGAGTTAAGATACCGAATGTATAAAAAATTTTAAAAAATTAGTCTCTAAAAAAATTTAACAAACTAAAAAATAACGACTGTACAGTTTTAGCTTGTAAAAAAATAGTGCTTTCTCTCCTAACATCTACAAGCCTGCTCAGTTTCTTGTCAAGATACTGTCCCACGGGCCATACACAAGTTCGCCAGACATCCTACAGGTCACCATATCGGACAGGTTCTAATTCTTCTAGCCACTTCTCTCTGAAATGTCACCTATATACTTCACGATAATCCTTCTACCTAATTAATATTATACTCTATTTTATCTCAACTTCCTGGAACTTTAATAAAGCTGAAATTTACCTTTTTTCTTTTTCTCATTTACATCCTTTTCTGGCTTAAAGTTCGGTTGATGATAAAAAAACAACACTCATGTTTGAGAATAACTTTATTTTCATAGAAAACGTCATAGTTTTCCATGGTAAGACCAATATGGTTAGCATCATACACTGCAAATGTGCACTATCATATCAAGTTCTGTATAACTCATTCTTGTATATTTTTCCTGTAAATATACTTCCAATAATGTATTATTCATGATTGCATCTTATACCACTTTGTAACTGTGCAGGATTTTCTCCTATTCCTGAAAGAGCGTTCAAGCACGTGGAGTCACAGTACTCACTCACATATATGTTGTTTATCGATAGGCCATTACTATCATCAGGAAGTGGAACGAAGTATGGATTGTCGCTCAACTTCGATGGAGACCTTCGTGAAAGATTTACAAATTAACAATTATCAGAATCTGTTCCGATTGCTTGTACCATAATTCAACAATTTGAACTTATTAAAAAAGTGATAATGTATGCTAATTTATAATTGTTGTTCGTAACATAATTGATCGTGCCTGTAAAAATGGCATGCATTTCATGTAAACTCACCTGTTTGTACGAAATATAAGTTATTATTATCATAACGTTTTTAATTTACCTGACGGCTCTAAATCATGCGTAAATCCTTTGAGATGGGATATGCCAAGAATTCTGCAGCATATATCATTTTAATCTATATTTTTGGAGTGACAGTAAAATGCGTTAACTGAGAAAAAATTCGAATTTTTTGGGACGATTTATAGAATGGATGATGTGTATCAACGTCGCCGATTTCATAACCGTATGCATTTTTTCTGAATATGTCACTGTACACTGCATCTGGTAACTAGTCTACCTTCAGCTCACACACCAACCTGGGTTTCTTGGCGAATCACTAATTAAATGTTTCGAGACATTCGCATATTTGTAGTCTGAGCTCCTTCGACTATGCACTAGACATTTATTAGGATTGCCGGTTATGTGTTCACCTCCCTATAAATATCCCTTGTGAGATACAAGTCACAAAATTGCATCTATGCGTCTGGTCATACCTAATAGCTAACACTGACATACTGCAAAAATTTCGTATAGAATCACTATACATAATCTTACCAGGACCGGCATATCTCATGGCGAGCTACCTAGAGTTTCATAAACAGATAGGAATCAATTCATAACATAAAGAACTTCGGAAAGTAGTGTAGACCTTGAACCTTATGCTCTTTTTCTCCTCATCCCCTACAGGCAACTAAGAGAGCTTAGCTCGAGAGTACAAAATGAAATGATGAGTTATATCAGCAAACAGTACCGGCACGGCTCACGAGTTATTAACTTTTGAAACCGAATCCAAAAAGAATTAGTCACTTACACAGTGGACCTTTAGATTTTCTCTGTTGACCCTCTTCACCTTCTCAGATGTATTAAGAAACCGCCCCACCATCCATACACGTTATCTTTTTATTTCTATTCAGCGTAAACTAAGAAGTGTAATCAGAAGCTTGTATGAAGTTATGACAGGCCAATAATATTTCGCAGAAATTAGGCAATAAAGAGATAGTTGGCTTGCATGTAATTTTGATAACTGCAGAGTGGCTGAAATAATATATGATTTTGTTGTGGTGAAAAATTGAAAGCTGGAAATGTCAGTGACTTGTGAAATTTGGGACCTTGAATGCATGCTAAACAAGTCAGTGACAGTGAGACAAATTACCGAACTAATCAGCCGTATATGCTTCCATCAGACTTCTGACATTTTTACAACGCACCACTTAGGAAGGAGAGCTATATTCTTCTCTGTGAAACTACAATAAGGAAACAACGAGGCGGAACACATTAAACAGCTTCCAGCTACTCTGTTTTCGGGGCTAAAACGTGGAAATTCCCATGGATTCACATGGACATAAGGGTTGTATTCCTTGGAACGCAAGACCTAGGGACGTGGTTTTGAAGTGGCTTACGCAATTCATGGTGTTTTCGACCACGCGCCTTCTCATATACAGCAGCTTCATAGTAACTGTGACCGTCATTAAGTTACAACCCTAGGTATATTGTCTTTGTAGGAGGAGTTCTATGCGTGTCGATGGAGTTCTTCGAAGACGAGCTCGAAATCTAACTACGGTCTAGAAAGGAATTAAGATGGTTAACTATTATTCGATGATTTTTGTTTTCTTCTAGCTTTGGTGAGGAGTCTATGTCCTAATCAGGTGGTACCTAAGGGCCACCGGGTTAGAAGGTCAGCATGTCAAATCAAAGGCCATTACGACTATAAATATCCGAAATATTTTGAAGCTGTTTCCAGAAGTAGACGCACGAAGAGTCCCATGCCCCGACTCAACTCAAGACTTTGACCAAGAAACAAAAGTTATGCTCAGTGTAAGGAAGTATGATACTGCCCATGACATCTAAGCTAACTTTCAGGATCAACATAAGAGGGTTATTTTCGGGTTCGTCACAAACGGCGTAAGTGTCTGGTGAACAGGCAATATAAATAAATTTCTTGAAGAATTGAAACGAATTTTATATAGAGTGATTTGCAGAGTTTTCGATCTATTTGTTTGTGAACCAATCAAAAGTTTGAAACCAAAAGCTATGAGTGTTGGTGAGACAGTGAAATGGACCCAGTCAGCAAATAACCGATGGTGTGTGCAGGCGCTCAAGTCCACAGGTATGCATAAGAGATACTCTCCTAGTACTATTAGGAGTTTCACAACATTTGCGAATACTAATGGTTTTTTCGGAGTCGGCGAGAATCCTACAGGCTATCAAAGTATTGGTCATTCACTTACAGCGCCTCTAAGTAGTCAGCACTCACATCGTGTCACCATCTTATCCGTCAATGAAAAAGGATTCTAGAATTTCTGGAAACTATGAGGTACCTAGAATGGTGGCCACATTACAACCTGACTGATAGAATTCAGTCTGCACCAAAGAGAGGACTAGACGCGAGCCCGAATAGCTCAGTGGTAACGTCTCTGAATGCAGCACTGGGTGACGTGGGTTCGAATCTCAGAAGGGACATGAGTTCCTTCAGGGTTGAGGATACGCCATGCTGATGAGTGCCAACTAGCACGAAACCTAGGTCCAAGGCTTCCTGCCGATTGCCTCCAACTATCTAATATCGTCAAATCAATGTGCACCGTGATGGTGAGCTACCTAGAATGGTGGCCACATTGCAAATACCTGACTGATAGAATTCAGTCTGCATCACAGAAGGACTAGATACGTCACACTAGTTACTAGTGTCCAATCAAAGTACTCGAAAAGTGTCTTGTCTTGGTATTATTTTGTAATAGTACCCGACTCCGGTCTTTATATTGGAGTACAACCACGTCTTCAAGTTCTATAGTGTGTTGAATGCTGTGTGAGACCAAATATTGACAGCGTTGTTTTCAAAAGTAAAAGTGAAAATTTGGGAAAGTGTATAATTAACAAAACCTGATTTTCAAACTACGTGGAAAAAATTCAACTCTGATTCGCCACGCGAATTATGGCAAATACAATTGAAGACCAACGCTTAGTTACACCATGGTGAATATCCTCTAAGCATACGCAAGATTAGTTTCTGTAAAAATGAAATATGGGTACATGAATTAGTTTTCGAGGATTTTGGTTTCAGTTAGTTGAGGAGTGCGACACACATGATAGCAAATACTGAATTCAAAAAATATATTTCTCCGTATGATCACTTGTGGGCACATCAGCTTTGACAAACGAGAACAATTTAGTATGTCCTTGTTCTTCAGAAGGATATATGATACTTTCAATATCGCGGTAGATTTTAAGCTTGCGCTACTTTCGATGACGGTTAGTTGTGTCTCCTTTTATTTTCATCTGCTGTATTGTTTGCACGGCTAATGAGTGAACTAAACTCCACATTAGTTTCAGAAACTCAAATAATGTTTTCATGTGAGCATTTATACACGCTAAAACATAGTTTATTTTGAAAATGTTTTTGAAGCCGCAACGCTATAGAAATAGGAATATTGCGTATGAAGTATGGGGTCTTATTCCTCACCAAAATTCGGAACTGAGAAAGCACATTCACACTTGGTTTTCATCACATTCTAGTATATTCTTAGAAACTGCATAGAATCCCAAGCTTATTATAATGCTGAATTAAATCTTGCTAATTCTGAACTAACTCTAGCATTCTATAATGAGTAAATTCTAAAATTGTTCTTGAATGGTTTGATTATGCTCATTTCAGCATGACATGCCGAAAACCGGCACATTTGTACCTTACTGATTCTTTTTTGTGCGCTGTGTTAACAATTTTTCAATTATCGTGACTGACTGACTGACTGGTTTCAACACAGAACTTTGCATCGATGTGCAGCAGTTCGAGTCGCCACACTTCATGTAGCACACAAAGCCAGAGAAGAAAGTAAAAAGAAACGCATAATAGAGACAGTAAACAGAGATATGAGGCAAAAAGAATAATAGTATGGAAGAACAATATAGTTTTATTGGGTATTATAAGTCTCAAGGAGTGGATGCATCTGCACCAGCCATTGAGAACGATCACTTTGAGCCATATCACCAATTGTCTCCAGCCATTGGTTTTTACCGTCCCGACGACCCCAACCAGGAAGTCTACATCTTCCTACGTGGCTTAAACTAAATGTTGTGGATTTCATTGAGTGATGAATTCATGTTTTGGTCTGACCACCACTAGCTCTTTTCCAACCTGACCCTATGTCAGCTAACATAGCCAGCTGTCGAGGGAGGCGATGGCTAGGTATGCACGCGTAACACATGTCCTAACCATCTCAGTCGAAGTAACTTCACAGCCTAGTTTTTTGATTTCCCCTCTTTACCTAGTACTCAATATTGCTCACCCTATTATACCACTTCATACGGGAGATAGAACGCAGGCACCTGTTATCAAGGACAGCTAGCCTTTTCAAGTCTCCCACTCTGAATGGCCAGGTCGCACAGCCAAAAGGAGGACGGAGCGGATTGCTGAGCAGTACACACGTCCTTTGGTCGATAGCCAACCGGATATCACGTCTACTAAGTCAGAGACAGCGTAAACTGTCATATGCGAAACTAGCCTTCTGTATCCGTGCTGAGATTTGGTCAGCAATCTACCCGTTGGGACTGGTTGATGCAACCTCCGAAATAAGTGAAGTGGCCAACACACTACCACTTCATTCCCTATTTCTAATTTGAGTCAATGTAATCCAGCACATCGCGTGCCAAACATTCGAAGATTGCTTCCTGTCAAGGTGTTCAGAAGACTCTGCTGCACTTTGTCAGCGTCTTCACCTAGGAGGGCGGACTAAATCATCTGTATATCCTAAGTCAACGAGATTATTCCCTAGTAACAAGTCAATCCCTGAGTGTGTGAAGGGAGTTAGGGTTAATTGCCTTAGTCCATCTCTGATGAAATTGAACAGAAATGGGGACAGTGGCATCCTGTGACACCACTAGTAGTCACCAGTTGAGATGACAACTCACCGTAAGCTGTCACCTGACTGGCTGCATGAGTTCCAGTAGAGTACCTTGATCAGTGTAATGTATTTTCTCGGGATTCCTTTTACAGATAAATATCGCCAGAGTACCTCTCGGTCGACAGAACCGAATGCTGCCTTTAAGTCAGGAAATATAACGATTGTTGGACGCCGGTAAGTATGCCTGTTCCAGAATCTGTCGAAGGGTGAAGATATGATCAATACACCCTCTTCCTGGTCTAAAGCCTGCCTGGTTCTCTCGTGTTTGTTCCTTCAGTGGACCACTTAGCCTACGCATTATTACTGAGCCCAGAGCTTTAGACACCACCATATTAGTCATGCTAATCCCTCTGTGATTATCACAGGAAGACTTGTCTCCCTTCTTGTGTATCGGGATAATCAATGGCTTACACCAAGGCGACGGAACTTCCTGTGATTCCCTAGTAACAGTTAACGCAGACAGTAAACTGTCTCCACCGTACTTAAATACCTCTGGAGTCATTCCATCAGGTCCTGCTGCTTTGCCTCGTTTCAGATTAGTGACAGTCTTAGTAACCTCATTTAGGGACGGTGGACCTGTGGCTATATCCCATTCATGGAGGTGTTGGATGTTCGGTAAGTTGAGCGTGGCTGTACGCCAATTAAACTGCTCCTCAAAGTGTTCTTTCCAACGTCCTAGTCGTTTATCCTGGGAGCTAATTATGGTGCTATTTTCCTCAGAGATTGTTTCACTTATCATTTGTCTTTTTCCACCTGTTTCCCTGATAAGCCTAAATAGTTGTCTGGTGTCACCAGTCACCGATGCCTTTTCCATCTCTTTCGCTTTCGTCGCCTACCACTGTTCACGGTCGTGACAAAGGCTTCTTGTTAGTTTGCGTTTGAGTAGCTTTCGATCCTCATCATAATCGGAGCTTGCTGGGATCAGTCTTCTTACGTCAATCAGTTCGGATGAGGTGGTAGAAATCCACTGGCTTTTACTAACTTTAGGTTAATAAAAGCTTTAACAACGGTGTCTATAGCTAACTTTATGTTGTTCCAGGCTACCTCAGGAGGGGTCCTGTTTCCGACATCAGGTACTCGTGTCGCTATTTCTTCCTTAAATAGGGACTCAGAGTCTCGAATTAGTTGGGGACATAACTACTTCTCTGCCAACAATTTCTTATGTCTGTTTAATCGTAAGGACAGGTGATGCCGTCCTTCTTTCTTCTAACGGACTCGTTCAGACGGACCGTACACATACACATCTACTGGGATCCAGTCAAGAAGTGATTTTTTTGCCGTAACACTCAATGCTGTCCCTACACCTGTGAGTCCTCGAGAGCTAGCTGACACCCTGAAAAGTGGATTTTGCAGATTCACCTTGTTGGCTGGGTGAGGTTAAGTGAATGACCACACTCGGGTCTTGTATGCGTGTCTCCGAAACACAAGATACACCCATGGCTGGAGATGCCGGAGTTCTTGCTAGTGACGCCTGTTGTCCGATTCGGCAGAGGGTTCTGACGTTGAATGCTCCTATATGAAGTTGGCGATGTGGAATTAAGAGGCTGTGTGGGGTGTTTCTATGACTCTCATCGTTGTTTGTGGTCACAGAGTACCGACTGTAGTAGGAAAGTAAGATGATGAAGGTGATGTGGGTAGTGGAGAATGATGGTCAGGAAGGCTTCATGTAGACGTGTGTGGGTGGTTGTTACTTCCTGGCTGCCCACACCATAGAAGTTGATTGATTTTTCGGGTACCTGAAAGAGAAAGAGGGTTAGTGTTTCGTGACCGCAGAGCCCAGGCAGCAACTGCTTAAAGCCGGTCATAGACGGCCTATGTGAACTGGTTTCTTGGATTGGTTCCGTGTTAGTAAACTTACTGCTAGTTATGGACCACCGTAGTGTAAGTCGAGATGTATAATTTTCTGATGCCCTCCCTCTGTAGTGGAGAGACAGAGAGCATAGCTGGCATGCTGGTCATCTGAGGGAAACACCTTACTGCTGTTACATCCCTGTTCCCCAGCAGTACGATTTCGTCCACAGACCCCCAGGATAGTATAAAGAAGAAAAATTCTTACACAATCCCGGTAACTGCTTTTAGTCTAATCGTTATCATAACAACCTTCCTGGCATGGTAGGACCTGCAGGAACAACAGTTCCAGCCAGTGTAGCTTGTTGGGTGATTGAGATATGCAAGCCCGACCACCACGTAAAGGTAGCAGCTATCGGTCGGGCGAATAACATATTGTCTGAAATGCTATGTACTGTAGTCCTGAGAAGACTTAGATGAGCTCTGATAAAGCCAGGTTGGCCATAGGTCTGGAGGAAGGCCTATGTGTACCCTTTGATAGGTTCTGGAATACAGATATATTTGCTGGCTCTCGAAACCTAACTTGGTTGTTCTAGAGGTGCTGTAGTAATTTCTGCTTGTAGAGTAGAAAGAAAGCATATTGTATTAATGAAGGAGCTCTACTCTAATTCATTCATCTGTTTGAGAGCTCATGAAGAGTTTTTATCTGAAGTGACAAAAGCCAGGGGTGTCTATCAGACTCCCAATATCACCCTTTTTATTCATTTTAATTATAGATGTATTGGTGGAGGTGACCCTGGCTAAGTAACACATCTTGGGGATTGATTTGTTATTCCCGTTGATCTAAGGTCCACAGGTGATACAGTATTTCTGAGTGAAAACTTTGATAAAGTGCAGTCTTCTAAATACCTTGAGCAAGATCTGAGTGTCATGTGATTGGCTTCTGTCATATTTAAGAGAATGTTGTAGGGTTGGTCTACACTGATCCCTAGTTAAACGAAAGGGGTTAAAACGGTCCAACCCACCTTTTTTAGGGGTCTGCTTCAGACCTAATTGACTTATTGCTGACAAAACCTCACACGGATACAAAGGGTGGTTTGGCTATTAAACATTGTCATTAAAACAGAACAGTCTATGAAGGCCCCACTTATTTAGAAACCGTTTCCTTCCTATCACCTGCGTTTGGCGGCATCATATAAGCAATGTAGCAATTAGATGTCTAGTCTTGGTTAGAAGAGACAGATCACAATAAGACTATAAGAACGACTAAAGAGAAATTCAATATTAGTCCATGAATCTATTGACCGTTGGTTAGACTGAAGGAAGAATTACTCGGCAAAGGACGTCTTTGTGCTATTGTCTCAACAAACCATACATCATAAGATTCCTAATCTGACTAAAGTTTAATTGACTTCAAAAATAAATATGAATGGATATTAAAAAATATGAGCATATACAATATTCGATAACTATTAGACCGTAGTGAATATTTGTTTTGGAGAAGACTAAACATGGAGGTATATACAATACACTGAGGCAATCGATTACACAGATAAAACTAACGAAGTGGTTCCAACAGCAAGGTGAAAATTCGTCTCAGAGAATCATTAATGCATATGATGTGGTACTACCGCTCATTCGTTTAAACTGCTTCAGTAAAACACTGGAAGGAATTAAAATCGATTCTGATATTAGTAGACAGGAGAAAAAATGAGGAGGGAGGAAGGTGCATAGGACAATTATGAGAAACTAAGATAGGTTCTGCGTCACCAGTGGTCAATCGATTTCTTCGTTGCATGTGGGAAACTTATGGATCGGTAAATGGCTTGGACTAATAGTTAGCTTAGCATCCTGATTTGGCATAATAGACTACTTAAATCAGATCTCAACTGTTCATTCTGTATCGGAATTTAAGCAGTATCACAGTTGTTAGACGTGATACTCGGTGGTGTTGTATAATTTCGCGTCAATGTATTACATACATCATGCGGTAGAACATTAATAGTTACTGGATCACTTTTCAAACCTAGCCGTCTATTCATATCACAGATGATCACATCAACTGTAGTACCCATAGGCGAATTTACGTCATTTGCTTGTGACCTAGCTTTTAACATGAAACCATTGTTTACACAAGAAAAATGGCTATTGATGTAAGTATAAAACTTGGGCACTGTGGTAGAGTATAGCTCCATTATGGATAAGATTTTATTTCGATAAATCACACAAGTCCATATCGACTTGATATGAATATGAGCTATAATTTGTGTTCGAAACGTCATCAGTTAATATTACTGTATAACACTGTATGATTTATCAGAATAAAATCTTATCCAAAAAGGAAAAATGGTTGGTTGTAAGGATTAGCCTAGATATTCATAAATTAACTGCTCACAGTAAGACAAAGGATATTTGAATGTTCTGTCTTATGTAGGTTGTATGACTAGTTCTTTGCTTATTATTCTTCACTTTCAAATGTCTACACTGTTGGTATATTTCTTCAACTGGTAATTGGTAAATGAATTGACGTGTGCATTCTACATACTTCTTACAAAATCTAACCTTTTTATTTTTATTTTTTTAATATTTAGCGACGACATTCGGATAAGTCGGATGAATTATCAGATTTATCAGAAGACGATTATGTCCCCTATGTACCCGTAAAGCAGAGGAAACAACAGGAGGTGAGATTTTTATTTAATTTTTATTTCTACCTACAGAATTCAAGTAGTTACTTTAAGATAGTAACAATTATCTTATTATGGTAAACAGTTTTCAGTTTTACATAACATACCAAATAGTAAATTGTCATGTAAATTGCAAAAAGCATTAGCAGAAATATGGCTTCATCTTTTGGTTTTCAATTGAGTTAGGTGTTATTATTATCCTAGTGCTTTCTTGGCCTCTGGGGCAGTCTGAAAATTCTGTGATGCACAGCGAAACCACTACACCGTTTGGTAATTGTTTAGCTAGTGTACTTTTTAAAAATATAAGTATGGTTTTCTGTTTGAGGATCTTTCGTAATCATTGGCCATCAATCTAAGATATTAGTGTAACTAGAGACAATAAAGTCACAACCTAATTCTGTATTTCGTTTTATTTTTGTTGTAACCTGAGGTTTGTTTGAAATTTTCAATTTTGATGATTCATTCCTTTCAAGTGTGCGTCGGTGGCACAGCGGTAGAATGCTCGCCGACCACGCATGTGGTCCGGAGCTCGATCCCCGGCCGACGAACTCCTTTACCTCGCTAAACCAGTAATAAGACTGATAAAGAGGGAAGGTTGGGCATGGGGCTAGCAACCCCACCCCCCATTGCTACCTAAACTTCAAGCCTGTAGCTTGAAGCCCTAGGTTCTACTGGGAACGTAAAGGAATAAAAAATTCCTTTCGAGTAATTCAGAAGCTGTTTTTTCACTTAATAAATTACCTTCCTTAAGCATACTAATCTGCAACTGTTGTCCGTATAACCACTTTTCAATTGGTAGTTTCACAACTCTTACCTACAAAAGAGTGGTAGGAGTAGTTAGGGTAGTTAGTGGTTTGTATTTGAAAAAAGAATTTAACAAAAGAAAACTAATTATGTAAAATCGCCAACCAAGAATTTAAATCACTACTGTCCAGTGGCTTAAGTTATGTGTATACTTACAACTGGTTCTAAACTTTTACGTATAAACTTTAGGCGTAAGCTTTCATGTATGCCTATATATTTTAGTACTCATGATTCGTACAGTGTGTTTCATATTTTGTTGTCTGGTAAGCTTCATCAATAAGACTACAAATACATTTCGAAATAACACTTCTGAGCCTTGGACTTAGACTTATGTTTTATTATCGACAGTGATTTAGTTAAGGAACTAGTGTTCTGTCCACAAATCAGTATATTTCCTATACTCAAAAAATCTTGCCAGCTAGTCATTCAATTCAAATTTGTCAATATACAGTGTAGTTAGGACTGTGTCACGGCTTTGAAGGAGATCTGAACTGACTGGTTGACATCACCAAGGTAACTAGGTAATATTACTGTCATTTCAGAAGTTTGTCTCATTTTTCAGTCATATGTTCCTCTAATATTTCATGTAATCCACAGTTATTTTTCGAACGCTTAAACGAGTCTGGAATTTGGAATTATTTTGATTCTTAGCGTCTAAATAGGTGGTGGCGTTAATTTTGGATGAGTGTTGTTCAGTAATATGAAACATCCTCTGTAACTGTTTCACTCCTTTAGTTCTACTTAACTTCATGATTGACACTTCTTCTGTTTACTTCCTAGTAACGACTCTAAAATGATGGGGGTGGGGGGTTGTTGAGTTATTGGCCAGTCTAGAGTTCTGCATGGATATGCTTTCGTTGCATATTAAAGTGCATGAAATTTGTAGTTTTGATTGTCGTTCTTCAATTTTTTTCGTGTTACTTTAAATTTCACTCTTTTATTTACATTAATCATATGTATTTAATTTTTCGGAAAATTCTAGTTGACATCACTCCAACGTGTCTTAGGAAATCTTGCTTACACTGAAGTACCTGAAGAGGAATTAGACGCAGCCAATGCAGCAGAACAATTTGAAGAAGATGGTGAAGATGGAGTAGCAAAAAAATCCTCTGATGATAATCATGGACCTAATGCACAAGGTAGTCTATTCGACAGAATGTGGGAACTTAAACGAAAGGCTGAAGGTAAATTCTATCCAATGTTTTAAACCAAACGTCTTCATAGAAAGAAAGGAGACAGAAAGAGATAAAAAATTAAAAGAAGAGGCAAAAATTTTAGAAAGTGTCGCTGAAAAGACTGCTTTGAAAGGTGTTGCAGAGTTAGCGAAAGGTATTCAGTATGATAAACCAATCCAGACTAGGTATGAAACGTAAATCACACTCATAACTGTATTCATTTTAGTTGGGTACCACCTGTATACATTCGCGAACAAAGCAATGAGAAATCTGAGGAAATTCGTAAGAAGCATCGAATTCTAACTGAAGGTGATGATATACCCGCTCCAATACGCAATTTTACTGAAATGTGTTTTCCAACTCCTTTAATTGATCTACTAAAACTTCGTGGGATAAAAAGGCCGACTCCAATTCAAATGCAAGGTTTACCAGCTGTATTGAGTGGTCGAGATATGATCGGGATTGCATTCACTGGATCTGGGAAAACTATGGTGTTTTCTATCCCTATTATTCTATTTTGTATGGATCAAGAGCAAAAAATTCCATTCATCCCAAATGAAGGCCCGTACGGTTTAATCCTAGGTCCATCTGTAGGTTGAAATTAATTCACTTATGAAAAAACCCTACTAAGCGCTATTGTTTTAGTTAGTTTATTATTCTAATTGGTAAATGCCCTCAAATTGATATTTTCTTATCAAGGTTATTTGTTATCCTTACCTGTTGTCAGTCAGTAAATTACTAATTTGATTGAAAAGTATTGGAAATAACCTATGCATCATTTGAAAATTTTATGTTCTCTAAAAAAAATAGTAGTAGATCAGTGAGCAGAAGTAATGTAAAACTTGTTTTTCGCAGTTAAAATCTCTCTAAAGTGAAGTGTTTTCATCTGGATGTGTATTGTTTATTCAAAAAAGAAATTAAAGTAACAAAAAGCTAACACAATTAGTCACTTTATGGCGTGTGCTACTGATAGATCTTATCAGTAGTATATAAAGAGACATTCATTGGCATAAAAACATCAAATAACAGGGAGATAGATTTGATGTCAGAGAAAGCAAATGATACAACTTTGAGGAGGTACATGGGAGACGTGAAAGGAACACAAATAAACACAATACGAAGGCCAGAAGTAACACAACATATGTATATAATCGCTATATAGAGATAACAAATTCCTGTTTCAAGTCTCTCGTCTTCTACCGTTACCACTTATATATCTCTATCACCGCTTGTCTTAACTCTAACAAATGAGTGGAAAAAATATGCATGTCAAATTAAACTCCGCTATAAAGTCAACTTTAGACCAATTATATCCATATAAGCCAACTAAGTTAAACAATTCTTCATTTGTTATCGATGACTTACTTCATTATCTAACCTTTCGATATTGTAGTACAAAGATTTGACTTGGGGCAATCAAAAGTAGACTACTGATAGTGTCCTTTTATTACGCATGGTTAGTTTGGAAAATATGACTTAATGGGGCAGGCAACATAGTTATTCCAAGACTTACTCTTCCCACGTTTTGTCCTGCTTGTGACTGTTTACACACTTCTGTAGATTCCTGAGGTAAAAAGAAACTTATGAAGTACTCTTTTGCTCTCCATGGTGTTCTCACAGTTGGCATTAATCCACATGTAAAGAATGTTTTGAGACACTTTAAAACTAATGATGTTGTCAGTTAATGTATCTTATCATTATTGAATCTGCTACTGACTATCACTTTGTATCAGTTGCAGAATGGTCGCCAGCCATTCGGAGGTCCGGATTTGACTCCACGAAGACACATGCCAATCGTCGCCTGGTTTATTAGCCAGTAGTAAGCCCGGAAAAGAGAAAAGGTTGAGCGTCAAGACTAGCAATCCTGTCCCATAAAAACAACACTGCTATTGAAACTTCATTCCCTGAAGCCCTATGTTCTATTCAGAATATAAGGATTGAAAAAAACTGATGAACCAACTCAACTTCCAACCACTGAGTCACAGTTCAGACTCTTGCTCCGCCTACCGAAGTTTGGGCAGTTAACTAACCAGCTAGATAGATAGACAGACAGAAAGAATTCAGTTACTCGAAACAGATTTTTCACTCATTCGACCACGAATCATACTTATTGTGTGGGGGTTGATTGTACTCACCAGGCTGAAGATGGTGGGGGTGGGGTTCGAACCTGAAACCCATAGGTTGCAAGTTGAGTGTTTAAGCCAATAATCTACATCTCCATATCGTCAACTAGAATGGTGATCATGGAAACAGTATGTGTTACTCATCGGTAAATTCATCACTGTGTACGTGGTTCAATAGTGACGTTTTATTAACGTTTAAATGTAAAATCTAACAATAGTGCTTGTGAGTAAATGAAATTCCCGTAGGATCTTACCTCTATTGCGTACATAAAGTTTTACCACAGGTTTACTGACTGTCTGTAGTGAGTTTCCTGGTTTCCAGACCGTATGAAGTTTGTGTTTAAATAGTGATTCTAATTACCAGTTTTTTTTATTAAAGATGAATACAAGTTTGTTAAATAAGTAACTCGTTTTCTCACACGAATTGTAATTCACATCACCGGATATCACTCAGTGATGCTGCATAGAAATTTTTTTTCATTGATATCAATCATTACTAAACATTAAAACATGTTAACTGTTTTGAGTGAGACCATATTGGTATTCTAATTTCGGTCACCTGACACCTTTTGTGTGTAGTCTTTAAAATGTAACACTATTTAGGAGCTAGCTCATTATCCCTTTTTTTCAATTTGCATAACACTTGTTTTGTGAAAATCTTGTTGAGGAAAATAGTCACTCAACAAATTCGATCGGGTTTCACATTTTTCTTTCGTCTTCAAAATCTCCTGTGTATGTAAAAACATATATACCTTTGAATGTTGTGTGAAACGTCTGAGCAAACATTCTTTGATTATTTGTCCGTCTTCACAAGATTCTCAGGTCATTTGGTAATAACACTTTACCAGAAAAAAGGTTGTGACGCTCACATAACTTCGTCGCATAAGTGCAGACACCTTAAAATATATAAATGAAATAAAGCCCTATATGATCTTAAGGTAAACGTTTTGTCATAATTGCTGTTGACTCTTTCCAATGATGACCACTGTTTTTTTATTCCTTCACGTTCCCAGTGGAACATAAAGCTTCAAGCTAGTGGCTTGAAGTTTCTGTAGCAGTGGTGATTATTTTTACAGGATGGGGTTTCTAGCCTCATGCCCAACCTTTCCTCTTCTCCAGTTATTACTGGCTTAGTGAGGTAAAGGAGAGCGTCGGTCGGGGGTCGAACCCCGGACCACATGCATGGTCAGCGAGCAACCTAGCCGCTATGCCACCGACGCACTTTCCAATGATGACCACTTAACTATAAAGTTAAAGTAAAACTTTGCATAGAAGTGTATCAGTTGTAGTTACCAATTTGAACAGTCATAAGTAAAAGAAGAGAAAAAGATACAAATACGATACTAAAATTAACAAACATGACAGCAACGTAATGTACATTGTCTATTGGCTTTAAATCAACAAGATTTTCCTCTCGTAACAAATCAGTTCGTAAAACGTTAGAGTCATATCGGTTTGTGTGTTTGCAATTAAATTACGTTGACACTGTAATACTGAGTATCCCTGAAGGAAATTGCTGGTTGTTTTCGCTTTCCATAAGCATTATACGGCTATATGAGTTCGAGTGAAGCACTTTTATTGACAATACAATTCCTCCGGAACTCCCTCGTAGTCAATTGTTATCACAACGTTTCTCAGTGCATGGCTTGTTAAACGCTGACCTCCGGTTGAGAAATGTAGGAATCTGGTAAGTATATGTGCATTTCAGAACGTGTCGGTGGATAGAGATCTGATCAGTGAACCCTTTTCTACTCCTGAAACATATCTGGCTACCTTTGTTGTTGTTTGTTTACTGATGCTTTATCTAATCTACGTACTACTTCTACTATTACGGTTTCTTGGATCTTAGGTACTGTAGTTTTCAACTTCATTCCATGTAGATGTACACCAGTGTAACCAAAACTCTCGAAATCCCAGACACACATATTAGTACTATAGTTATTTTAGTCAATAATTCGTTACTACCATCTGTAATCCCCTCTGGGAATCATGGCATCAGTTCCTGTTGCTTTGTCTCGTTTCAGAAGAAAAGACAGTTTCTGTAGCTGTGGTTATATTCAGTGTACCGACGTTTGTGTCCCATTCACACTGGTTAGATGATGGGGAAGTGATTTTCAATGTGTGTTCTACCTAACATCATCTCAGTCTTTGTCGTATTTCATCCTTTTAAGGGACTGATTTTTTAAAAAAGCCCAAATATTTCACATTTATTCCCTATCGTTGAAACCATCTTTATTTCGTTAAGGGAAAATCTTGTTTAACATAAACTCATTCAGGGAATAACTTCTGATTTCTAAAATAATTCCAGTGTAAAATATTATTATCATTTTCTTTTCTTGTAGCGTGAATTAGCTCGACAAACACATGAAGTAATTTGTGGTCTAGTTGATGGCTTAGTGAAAAGTGGATTCCCGCATATTCGTTGTTCTTTATGTATTGGAGGTATGGCTGTTAAAGATCAAGCAGAATTAGTCCGAAGATCTGGTGTGCATATTTTGGTTGCTACACCAGGTCGTTTAATAGATTTGCTTCAACGGAAAATGATTAATCTAGAAGTATGTCGATATCTTGTTTTGGATGAAGCAGACAGAATGATTGATATGGGTTTCGAAGAAGAAGTTCGGACGATATTCTCTTATTTCAAGGTAATTTACATAACAAAGGTTTCTCGAAATATTTTTCTGATGTTGTGGCTTGTACTTCGTTTGTTTCTCTATTTCAATTTGTTATCTTCACTTTTAACTTATCACTTATATTTCTCAGATGATGTCATACTCATTGCATTGCTGCTAACGTCGTTAGCTTGCATTCAAGTTCAGTGTCAGTTTAGATTAATTATAAGAATGTGGAACTTATTATTCTTCGTTTTCATAAGGGCGCTTAAGGTAAACAGTTATTTTCGATGTAGATTCCGTTATGAACCAACATCAGTTTGAAAATCAAGGAGCCCTAGACAACTGTTTTGTCTTAGGTTGAGATTCTTCGGCAGAGCACACTCACGACTCCACCAGGAAGGACTGAGCCTAGGGCTTTCAGGTTATGAGGCCGATTAACCAATGCCATCGTTGAATATCCAGTTCACCTTGAAAAGGATGTGTACTGCCGAAGTTTCGTGAACTGGGATGAAACAGCTGTCCAGTGCACCCTGCTCTCTCAGTGGTTGTGTAACTGACGTTGGTTCGTGATGAAATCTTTGCTGAAATTAATGCGAATCTCTACAAAGGGTTAGGCGTCGAGTGCTAGGTAAGGAGGGGAAATCAATCGACGAGGCTGTGAAATTACATCGACTGAGATGGTTAGGACATGTGCTACGTACGCCTAGTCATCGCCTTCCTCGACGGGCAATGTTAACTGATATAAAATCAGGCTGGAAAAGAGATAGCCGCGGTCAAATGAAAACATGGCACCAGTCAATGAAATCTACAACAGTTAGTCTAGGCCACGTAGGAAGGTGTAGACTTCCTGACTGGTTGGGGTCCTCGGGATGGTAAAAACCAATGGTTGGAAACAATTGGTGACATGGCTCGAAATCGTTCTCAATGGCTAGCGCAGATGTATCCACTCTTTGTGACTTATGATTTCCAATTAAACTATTTTGTTCTCCGTTATTTCTATTCCTTTGTCTCACACCTCTGTTTACTGTCTATATTATGCATATCTCCTACTTTTTTCTCTTGCTTTGTATGCTACATGAAGTGTGGCGACTTGAACTGCTGCAGATATGTGCAAAGTTCTATGTCGAAAACAGACAGAAAGACAGACAAAAGCTCATAATCGAAATAATTATCTGTTAGTTAACATTTTAGGGCTTTTTCTTACTTACCGTGAAGTTGGTGGGGCAGAATGACTATATTACTCCCTATTATTGAATAAATTACTGAAGTTTGGAACCTTTTGTCTTGTTGAAAAGTTTCCCTAAAATAGACTTCACTTCCAAATTAAGAAATATCCAAAATGATGCTTGAACTTACTTATTCGCAAATATAATTTAGTGTTAGGTGTTGTTGTGTTCTCTAATGTGTGGATAGTTTAATCGTCGGAATATGCTTCTATCTGTTCAAAAAATGGGAGGATTTTGTCTAAAGACCGAGTATCCACCACCAGTGAAACTATCAGTTCTATTCCTTAATATCTCCGTTGTCAAATCCCAGCAGACCAGTGCACAGTTACACTATTCAATTCAGAGAATGTAACAATACAAAAACAGTCACCTGGAAAACAAATTTTCTCCATTATTTCATAATTTAGTCTTACTCAAGTGACAAAGGTTAGGTCTTAGTTCAGATTTCTAATGAAATAAAATGGAAATAAAACAATTTGATAAAAGTTGGAATTGTTAGGTCACGGAATTCTATTCCAGTCGCCTTGTAACCTAAAGGTTCTGGGTGCATACTGATGAGGAGCCCCAAACTAAGACGAAACAGCTGTACAGTACTTACTGGCTTTCAGCGTCTATCCAACTAATATTAATCCGTGATTTAGCCTGAAACTAATTAAATCCTTACAAAACAATGCGTGAAAATCTGGTTTTTGCATGATTTTCCTATTGTAAGAGTTTGAAAGGATAGGATTTCATTGATTCAGTGTAGTCCGTGAACTGATATAAATAAATAAATAAAGTAGTCGATTACAAATCAAGGAGTGTTAAATATATAGACCCATGAATTACCAAGAAATCGAGTCCAAGACAGGCGGTCTATAGTGCGAACACTTTACTATCCAACTACAGTCTTTTCATTTGACACAGGAGTCATGTTATCAAAATGATGTGAAACGTTAATAAAGTATGAGAGAGAATTCTGAGAAAAAAAGTTCTAGTGAAGTTGTTATTTTCTTTTACCCTTCAGAGTTACAATAAAAATAAAGGGATGTGTTTTAATAGGATACTATGAAAATGTTAATTGTTACTTCTATAAGTAAATCATGATTCTCCAGTAGACGATGAACGGTTAACCTTTGATTGTCACTATAACCCCTTTTCATGTAATAGCCAAGTGTTTTTTCAGCCTGATACACACTAGACAAACTAGACTGGATTATTGTATCTCGTAGTTCCCTTTTTTATACTATATTTTTTATAGAGAATAAAATAATGCTTATTGCATTGTTGTCATAACAACAAGGTTGTTTACTAGTTTAGATCATATTTCATTGATTGTTGTTTATTATTTCATTGTTGTTTTTTTTTTCTGCGCTTACTTTAGGGCCAACGTCAAACTCTTCTCTTCTCAGCTACTATGCCAAAGAAAATACAGAATTTTGCTAAATCAGCCTTAGTAAAGCCGGTTACTGTTAATGTTGGTCGAGCCGGTGCAGCTAGTATGAATGTTACTCAAGAAGTAGAATATGTGAAACATGAAGCAAAAATTCCACATTTACTTAGTGCTTTGCAAAAAACTCCACCTCCTGTAAGTTATTGTATTCTTGATTTTTTGTTTTTATGAGAAGTTTTGAGCAATGATAACGAAGAGACCTGGTTAAGGAATGTTTATTAGAAATTTGCTATTTCTTTATGGCCAAATTATGTATACCATATTTGCAAATAATCGTTTGCACAGATCTTCCGTGATGCAGTACTTCTAGCTTTCATACTGCGCTTCTTTGTGTCACTTTCAATTCTCCCATGTTTGTCCACAACGCTGAATGATTTGCTATCTTTGACGTCAGATCTATCTCCCTGTTATTTGATTTTTTATGCCAATGAATGTCTGTTTATATACTACTGTTAAATCTTATCAGTATTACACGCCACATCATGGTAGTAACACTAGAATCCCTAATGGTTTATTGAATACAGTGCAATCTGTATAACGTAATGTAATCACTAATTCTATCTACTGTACTTTCACTTACAGAACAGTAGTGGAATGATATATATATATATATATACATTGTTAGACTAATGGCGAGATGTTTTCCACATTTTATGAATGTTGTTATGTATATGCAGGCGCTCTAAGCTGTAAGTTTTTAGATTTCATTCTATTTTGTATGCACAGATTCTTTTAAGGGTCGATATCCTTAAAGACAAAGTCAGTTACACATTTGAATAATAGGGGTGCAATTTCGAAGAGAAAAAACTCATATCCTCTCCAATGTTTGAATGTATGATATTTAAGAATAGTGGCTTTCATTAAAGGAAGAAAGAAAGACCGAATATGCAGCATAAAATGACATCAGCATTGTATTTCACAGGTTCTCATCTCATCATCTGCTGCAAACTACCTGAAATTACACTGGTTATAAATAATGACAATAACATACTTCAATGCTTGAATAGTAGTGAGGAAAACATTATAAAATCAATATATCCGAAACATAAGCATTACAATTGGCTTTCGTTTAAGTTACCATATGTGTCTGCTTTCCCACAAACTGGAAGATATGCAAGTGAAAAGTAACAAGTTGGCAGAAGAAGCATCAAAGATAGGACTCCAGGTGAACATAGAGAAAACGGAGGTGATGAAGATTCCTGGCCAACACCAACAGCCACAGCAACAACAACAGACAGCAATCAGCATAAATGGAAGGAACCTGAAAGAAACTACCTCCTTTACCTACTTGGGAAGCATCGTTTCAACTACAGGCGGAACTGACGAGGATATCAAAGCAAGGATCGGGAAAGCAAGGCAAGCTTTCATTACTCTCAAGTCTGTGTGGAGGTCAACAACATTCAGCGTCAAAAATGAGATCGGGATTTTCAACTCCAATGTGAAGTCACTGCTATCTACTATACGGATCAGAGACTTGCACTGCGCGTCATAAAGAGCACATCAAACAAGCTACAGACATTCATTAACAGATGTCTTCGCTCAATACTCAAGATCAGATGGCCGGTCAGAAAAGATCAGCAACAGAGATCTCTGAGAGCGAACCAACCAGGAACCGATTGTGAAACAAATAGGCAGGAAGAAATGGAGATGGATTGGCCACACTCTGAGGAAACCAGCAAGTGACATCACTAGACAAGCCATTACTCGAGTGGAACCCGAAAGGGAAGCGACGAGTTGGTCGTCCAAGGGTGACCTGGAGGAGATCATGTGAAGAGGAGATGAAAACGTGTGGGCAGACTTGGAGCCAGGTGAAAACTCTAGCAGAGAACCGAACGCAATGGAGACGCATGGCTGAAGCCCTATGTTCCTCTAGGAACTAAAGGAAATAATAATAATATAATAATAATAATAAGTTACCATCAATTTATATGCTTCCAAAGTAGAAAAGGACAGGTGAGGGGAAGAGAAGATAAAAAACAGAAAAATCTAATAAACAGTGTTAGCATGTAGGTTTACATAGCATCTCAACTTTATGAACTGTAACCCTCTTAAGTTGCTATGTAAACCTACATGCTAACACTGTTCATTAGATTTTTCTGTTTTCTTTCTTCTCCTCCCCTCACCCGTCCTTTTCTACTTTGGAAGCACATAAAACTGATGTTAACTTAAACTAAAGCCAATGGTAATGTTTATAATTTGGATGTGCTTGTGTGCTATTCAAGCATCGAAGTATGTTATTGTCATTAATTACAACAATTGTAATTTCAGGTAGTTTGCAGCAGCTGATGAGAACCTGAATCTGGTCTTTTTTTCTTCCTTTATTACAACTTACCAGGGGAACCAAAATGTATGAAATACTGACTTTTTTCAGATAATAAAGAAATGTTAGTTAGTTCACCTTTGAACCAGTTATTGCCTTTAATTCCCCCTTAAAATTAGATTAATTTTCGCCTTAAACATTCATTGTTTTTGTTTTGTTTTTTTACTTTTAAAAACAGGTTATTATATTTGCTGAACGTAAACAAGATGTCGATGCTATACATGAATATCTTTTATTAAAAGGTGTTGAAGCGGTTAGTATACACGGTGGAAAAGATCAAGATGAACGTGTATCAGCTGTCACAGAGTTTAGAGCTCATCATCGTGATGTTTTAGTCGCTACAGATGTGGCTAGTAAAGGTTTAGATTTCCCTGAAATTAATCATGTCATCAATTATGATATGCCAGAGGATATTGAAAATTATGGTTAGTTTAAGCTAATTACTACTATTACTACTAATAATAATGATAATGAATTATCGTCTTAACGTTTTACGAATTATTATAATATGATTATTCCCTTGGGTTCCGAGGAGAACATAGGGAGGGCTCCAACAGCACATCTCCATTTTATCCTGTTTCTTGCAATCATCTTCAGCTGGCTCAAAAAATTGTTCATAAGCTCTTATCTCCTCACTAGATCTCCTCCATGTCAGCCTCGAACAACGCCCGATTATTATAAATTACACTTGAAAAATCCCCCGCGTTAATAGATAGTTCAAAGAATAGCTCATGTTTTAAAGGAAGTTTTTAAGTTGTATGCAATATGACTTCATTCTAGTGGTACCCATAAGTGTACTAATATAAGAAGCTTAACTTAAAGAATGGCGACCACAGAGTGCGAACCCACCAGTGACTTTGGACGGATAACATTCACTGAATTATAGAACCTGACGTTATTACAGCACCAAGTATGAACGCTGTGCAAGAATTGATGTGCAAATTTCGTCCTGATCTTGCTTTTAAGTACTGTATGAACAATCGGTTGATAGCACGTTATGGTTAGGTCTGTGATTAGGATTGGGATTGAGGTGTTCGATTATTATCTGTATTTTTCTTGTAAATAAATAAATTGAAGGAGTTTTTCGGTGTTCATATATATACTTTAAAGTATATATATACGCGATTGCTGTCAATCCTTTTCTCTTTTGATTGGAGACAGTAATAGCTCTGTGCATCCACGGTCTGTCTTCGTGAGTCGCGGATTTAATGGTATCATATCGTGTCATTGTTGTTGCTAATGGTGATTAGACTAGTAGGCTCACAAATCGTCTACGTAAAAAGTTTGGTAGCGCAGACTACCAAAGTGTATTAACAGTCATATCAGCCAGAATAAAATATCGTTTTTAATGTATTTCATTATTATTATGTTAGTTTTTCTCGTAAATAAACGGCTTATTAATGTATATTACATGGTAGGTTCTGTAATCCAACGAATGATATGCGTTTATAGTGGCATTAGAGCGTTCGCACTCCATGGTCGCTATTCTTTATGTTTGCCATACAAATGTTTTATAATGCAACATGTGGATGATAATTGTGTCTAGTGTTCTTTTAGCTTGTGCGTGTTTATTGCTAACTGAGTCTTTTTCAGCCAGCTTTATCGAAATATTGAAGAGGTAATTACAACGAGTGGAATTATGTTTTGCTCTTAACATAGTAGTGTAGTGGCTTTTCCTGTATTTCTTTGTCTCTGTCAAACTATCATAAGATGAACATGTGTTATTTTCGATTGTATCTTGTTCGAAAAGTCATATAGAAGGAGGTGTCAGATCAATGCGCCTACTACAATTGTGTGATTAATACTGGTATAATGAGAGATATGAGCGTGAAACTGTGCTATTGGTTGTACCGTGATAAAATGGCAGCAACGGTGTTTCACTGAGTAGACAACTGGAAAACAGTATTTGTCTTATGTATTATATATAACTCAATAGTTCCTCTCGATAATCATCAGCCGTGGTCTTTATCGCTTTAGCTTTTGGTTTTGAGTAATACACTGACAAGTGCTGTTACTGTCACAGTCTCATTGAACTATGGCTATTTTGTTTCAAATTTCAACAGTTGAGTTATGCTTTTCAACCCCGATGTGTATAATTAGGTTCTGGTAGTAAGGCAGAATTGTAGTTCTTACATTCTTTGCTGTGTGGTACATAAATCTCTGTGTGGTTGTCAAATTATAATTATTCGCCTCAATTTCCACTAGTTGTTCAACTGTTAAACATTGGAGTGTATATGACGGGTTTTTTTGTCTTCTAAAATTGCAATCTTGGTGGGGTTTTGAGGACCTTTTAGATCTTTTATAGGGTAAAGAAATAAATGTCACGACATGTAATCATATTATATCTATGTTTTTATGAGGGTGACATGGAGGAGGTCATGCGAAGAGGAGATGAAAGCATGTGGGCAGACTTGCAGCCAGGCGAAAACGTTGACGGAGACCCGAATGCAATGGAGGCGTGTGGCTGAAGCCCTATGTTACTCTCAGAACTAAGAAAGACAATAATAATATATATTATAATAACGTAAGAGGATGTATATGCTACTTGAGAGTGTGATCAATCATTTAATTTAACGAGATTAGTGTAGTAACAGTGGATATTTCAAGTTTCTGTATCCGTCTTATTGGAATGAATATATATATAGTCATGGCGATAGTATTACATCGATTTGGTTGGTGTTAGCATTCAATTACTCAATGTTTTGCGATTGAATCTAGGCTACTGGTTCTTTGCATTCTTATTTTCAAGATTAGCTTAGTTGTTACTGATTTGTTGGCTATATAATGCCCGACCGATAGCTGCTACCTTGACGTG